CACCCAGCATCACCTGCAGTCACCCAGTGCCATACGGCATCACCCAGCATCACCCAGGGCCTCCCAACACCACCCAGCATCACCTGCAGTCACCCAACGTCATCCAGGGTCACCCAACATCACCCAGGACCAGGCGTTTCTGTCACTAACCCACCGTGACCACGGTTGCACTTGGAGTGTCTGGTCCACCAGTAAGGGATGGTCGGCCTCCATCTCTGAGGTTTTACTCTAGCTCTGTGGTCTGCAATCCAGCAGGAATCACCGTGCTAATCCCACATCCACACAGTAAGAGCCCGTTTTAGCAGAGGTCAGGGAATGGAGCGAAAGCAGTCACCACACTGAGGGCAAGGGGGCAGTGTGAGCCTTAGGAGAAGCAGCGGCCTAACCTGGGCCCCCAGCTCTGCAGGGGACCGCCCTGGGGGGGCACATCAGGCAGGACCCAGACACCTATGCTCACGGCTGCCTCCTTCCACAGCCGCTTGCCGGGAGCCCTGCGCCCACATCGGGACCAGAGGCCACAGCACTCAGGTTGCATACCAGGTAGGATCCCTGCCACGGGCCAGAAGCCTCGGGCTCTGCTCCTCCACCACCTTGTCCTAGGTCCCCTGCCAGGGGCCCTCGGGGCCTTCCTAGGCCTATCAGAGGGTGCCTCGACTGAGACCCCCAAGATGCAGCAGGCAAGTCAGGGAGCAAGGCTCTCAGGGACTGGGGCAGGTGGGTGGAGGTGGAGGCCTCAGCTCAGGGCCGTGTGAGCCAGCTTGCTGTGGGGACAGATGGGTCCTGCCTGGGCCTGGGGTGGCCAGGCCCTGAATGTCACCAGGCCACTGTAGGCAGGACCCGAACACCTGGGCCCTGTGACCTGCTGTGCAGCAGACTGGCTGCCCCACCCCCTTCTTCCACTGGCTGCCTCCGCCCCCTCCATCCACTGGCTGCCCCACCCCTTCCATCCACTGGCTGCCCCCACCCCTACTTCCACTGGCTGCATCAACCCCCATCCACTGGCTGCCCCACCCCCTCCATCCCTTGGCTGCCCCCACCACTTCTTCCACTGCCTGCCCCCACCCCCTCCATCCACTGGCTGCCCCGCCCCTTATTCTACTGGCTGCCCTGCCGTTTCTTCCACTGGCTGCCCCGCCCCCTCCGTCCACCTCCTCCACCAGGGCCTGGTCCAGTGTGCAGAGCTGCTCCGGGCTCCTCTACTCCCCTAGAGGCCCCAGGCCTTAGGGTCCCCTCAGAGGAGCTGGAGAGGCAGAGCCAGTGTCTCCTGCATACCCAGGTGGAGACTGGTGGGCTCAGGGTTCCCAGCTGGGCTCCGCGTTGCCCTACCCAACTCCCACCCAACACCCTGGGCTCCACCGCAGTAGGGCAAGGTCCTGTCTGGTCAGCTCTGTCCAGAATCCCCCAGGAAAGACAGAGAAAATCAGCTGTGGCTGATTAGTTATCGGATGCTGGATCGAAAGAGGGCAGGGCTGGGCACTGGAGGAGGGAGGGAGGCTGCAGGTTCTGGCAAGCGTGGAACCATCCCAGTGGGGGCGAGCCCAAGCCAGGGTCAGCCACTCCTCAGAAGAGACAGCCACCCAAAGCCACCTGTGCACTGGCCGGGGACTCCAACTCTTGAAAGATGTATTGATGAAAGCTGCCTGCCCCCTGCTGCCAGGCGCCTTGTCCACCTCTGGGGGGCACAGTGGTGTAGATCTGAGGGGCCACGGTGGCCAAGAAGCTCAGGTTGGAGGCGTCACCTAAGGGTGATGATGCTGCCCACTGGATGCCCACCTGGATGGGGCCTCGGACAGTGACAGTTTCCTCCCATGTAAAATAAGAGGCTGGTCTTGATGCCTGAGGTGCCCAGAGCTGGTGTTCAAGGGCCACACTCAGACCTGATCCTAAATTACACAAAGCTCGGAGTCCAGGTCCACTGAGCTACAAGGCAGAAAACGGCCCCGGGAAGGAAGCTGGGCAAGGTGGGGGCCTCCCAAAATGCACCGGAAGAAAATGCCAACCCTCTCTCGAAAGGGCCACAGGCAGGCCTGAGGGATGGACACAGATGTCTCATTAGGGAAACTGAGGCAGCGTGGGCTGCTGCGCTGATGAGAGTCAGGGAAAGGGCTGGCCCCTGGAACCAGCACCCATGAGAGGTCGGCAGGTAGGGCTAGGGCCAGCGTGTGCCGGGGGAGCCCGTCTGGGGCAGGCGGCAATGCACAGCGGTACAGGGCAGGTGTTGGCAGGGAGGGCGGCTCTGTGGCCGCAAGCAGTGTGGCTGCTGTCTGCAGTGGTGGGAGTGGGAGGGGTCTGCAGGTTTCACCCCATGGCCTCTCTCTGCAGATCCAGGAGATGAAAGGCAGGGTCAGTGAGGAGCAGCACAGCCGCAGCCTGGACGATACGCGTGTGCGCCAGCTGGCCCTACACCCAGAGCCCACCTCACCCAGCCACACCTTCCACTGCACCCTGGACCTCAGGCTGGCATCTCCCTGCGAAACCAGGGCCACTCACCCCAGCAACAGGTCCAAGGACTGCCTGGCTCTGAACCTGCTTGGGGAGGCCCCACCCCCACAGGGGTTTGTGGTGTAGGCACCATCCGCCCAGCAGCACCGTCTACACCGCCAGCCTCAGTTGGTTCAGCCACCACCCACCCACTGCCACATGGCCCTTGGCCCTTCCTGCCCACCGGATGCTGCCCCCACCTCCATAGCCAGCAGGCTCCACAGGCTCACCTGGGACAGGTGTGGAACCAGCTCTGACATCAACCTGGGAGGTGACAGACAGTCCCATACCTCACGCCTGCCCGACCAGGAGCTCCTTCTGTTGGGTCTCCAGGGAGCAGGTTCAAGGTCTGGCATGTCCAAAGCCATGGCATTGACCTCAGCCCCTCACCCGTCCTAACCTGGGAGAGGTGACAGCTGGACCCCGACCCTGGAGAGAGAGCTCTGACGTTTATGCCAGCTCCCTGACAGACAGGGCTCCCTAGCTGAGTTCACGGTGTCTGTCGCTGTGCAGGACCCAGGCCCCTTCCAGACCTCGACCCTCCTGCAGTTCCTGCTTGCAAGTGATGGGCCTGCCAGACGGAGGCTCCTCCTGAGACGCAAGCCCAGCACTGTCACCTCAGACCCAGCCCAGACCCTCACCCACCACCCATGTGAGTGACACACAGAAATTAGTCAATGACTGTGCTTTCCCTTCCAAGTAAGACCCCACTGCCCCCAGGCTAAAGCCAACTCTGCTACCATCTCAGCCATGACCCCTTAGGGCCTGCTCTGTTCACAGGTGGCTTCCTTAGGTCATTGCCCTGGGTAGGGTGGGGCTGGTGCAGCCCAGATGGGGAAGGAGAGAGGCTTTGGTGACACATAGGGAGTGGGGAACTGGCTGTGAGTGGCAACTGCTCTGACCGGGATGGGCTCCATGGGTCATGTAGCCTCAGCACCTCAGGCTTTGGAAGGCCTCTGGGGTGGGGTCTCCCCAGGGCTCCGCCTCCTGCACAAGACTCCAGCACACGTGCACAGCTGCTGTCCTCTGCATTTAGAGGAGTGGCCCATGCGTCCCTGCTAGTCTCAACCCAACACAGAGAACTAAGAGGCCACAGTGGTGCCGCCCTGTGCCCTGAACACCACTGTCCCCTTCACTGTCTGTGTGTGAGGAAGACCACGCCGCGCCACCCTTCAACTCACTGGAAACCAGGGTGAGCTTGAGCCCTGTGGCCTGCTGCAGGGCCACGTGCATGGTGGCCACCTCTTTGACGGGTCCATCCTGGGGTCCTCTCCTTTCTGTGAAAGGAATCATGTGCGTGCCCCAGGCATGTGTAATAAAGAACCCGATTGGATGCCTCCTGTTTGAACCCGGGCCAGCCTGGCTGGGCGTCTGGTGAGACACCAGCTGTAACTCACTCATGGCATCAGCCACCAAAGGCTGCTTTCTATAGACAGCCACGAGCCCCACTGCCTCAGAGGACAAGACTGCCCACAGCTCCCGTGCAGTGGGGAAAGGCAGCTGGTGCTGGCTCAGGTGTGGGCGTAGGGGCGCTTCCCAGAGGCCCCTCCCATTAGTACACGACTGACCTGCCCTGGTCCAGCGCAGGGACTGTCTGCTTCCTTCCAAGAAGCTGGGGCAAGATCCCAGACCTGCGGACCATTAGGAAACGTGCACACCAGTGTTGGGGGATGCAGCAGGTGGCATCTGCCATGAAGCAGGGATGAGCCGAGACATACATGCACATGTGCACACACACACACAGGCATACAGGCACACACTTGCACACACACACATATGCACAGACACACACATGCACATGCACATAGGCACACGCACACACACACAGGCAAAGAGGCATACAGGCACACACACACATGCACACACATGCACACACACACATGTGCACACTGCTCACACCCAGGCATCCCCTGCCGGCCAACTTCGCCACACACCACAGACCCCAAGAGCAGCAAAAATCTGGCCAGCCCACACCTAACTTGTGCAAGCGTCACACTGTGGCTGGCCCAGCCCCCTGTGTCCCAGCGGAGGTGACGCAGCCCTGGCCCCTGGCTGACTGGAGAAGCCGCTCCTGCCCCGCTGGGGATTCCTATTTCTGTCCTTCCGCTGGGCCTTGTGGACAGACACGGAGAATTATGCCAGATGTCCGTTAACATCTGGCATGTGGAGAAGACAATTAGAGGCCTGGCTACCCTCAGCCTTGTCCAAGAGGAGATGGCCGGGCAGGCCATACAAAGCTGACTCTGGCCACTGGCTCTGACACACCCGGCCAGGCTCGAACACACCCGGCCAGACCCAGGCAGGCTACCCTGAGGCTTGGGCCACAGCCATGCTCACAGCCCCTCCACACGGCCCCTCCACACCGGCCCCTCCACACGGCCCCTCCACACGGCCCCCTCCACACGGCCCCCTCCACACAGCCCCTCCACACAGGCCCCTCCACACAGGCCCCTCCACACAGCGCCCCCACACAGCCCCTCCACACAGCCCCCCC